GGAGGTGAGACTGACCCTGGGTCTGTTCTTCCCAGAGGCGCAGTCGGATTCTGCCCGGAGCAAGACACTGACGGGAGCCGGGGCCCTTGTGCTCGGGCTTGTCACCTTCGGAGTGGGCCTGTTCCTGCACAGGAGGAGCAGGAAAGGTGAGAAGCCTGTGAGGTGCCTGAGACTTCCTTTCCCCTGACTTTCCCGTCTTCCCTGCCGAGAGGCTGAGACACAAAAGCAATGCCAGAGAGTTCTGCAGGCCCCTGAAATCAGATAGGAGGGAGCAGGTCGGGGAGCAGAGATGGCCCGTAGGGAGGGAGGAACCCCACGCTGGGAACTTAGCGCAGCCAGACGCATGAGGTCCCCATTACTCTGGCTTGTCAGGGCGTCCATCAAGTGACGGACAATGGAAGATGAGATGGGAAAGTTTCTCTAATTGTCTGAGGTGGTTTTAATGGTTTAATCCATTCCCTTCCCTCTTTTCATTTCAGTCCAACGAGGATCTCCATAAACAGGTAATATTCCTGCTTCAGTGTTCTTGAGGGGGTGGGCTGCAGAAGGACATGTCCCTTCTCTGCATTGCGATGCTGAGGTCCCTCCTGGGAGGACAGTCTCAGGCCTGAACGTCTCTGTCACCTCAGCCCCTGGGCGAGTGTGGGGAAAGGGCCTGACTTGGTCCACCGGTGCAGGAGGCTGAGATAAATCTGTTCTTAATCAGGCCCAGTCTCCGTCTTTCACCATAATTTTCCTCTCCTGGGACTTAGAGGAAGAGAGGTCAGCAACCTGGGTAACGTTTTCTCTTTTGTCCCCACAGGGTCCCTGACCTAACCTGAAAAACTGCATGTGCCTCGGAACAAGTGTTTTTCTGTGTGTCTTAGTCCCAGAGGCTGGCTCTGGGACAGACCCCGGCTTCCCAAGAGGATGTTGCTGCCAAGTATTTGCTCTGAAGCCACTTTCTGTAGTTCTGCTCTTTGATTCAATGCACGGTGGCTCTCATGGGCCTCCAACCAGGTTCCCTTCTCCTTAGCCCCATAAATAATAAAACCCAACATTATTGTTTGTTTTAAGAATATGCGCCGAGTCATCCCAGCTGTTGTTTTTGTCTGAGGGTTTGGTAAACAGTAGGTGTTATGAGAAGTTCGTTGGTTACTCGTAGGCAAGAAGGAAAACATGAAAATGGGGATATCTCAACTACTGAGAAGGCGGCCAGTTGGACACGGACTCCTGACTGGTGTGTCTCCTTGGGCTGCCCCATAATCGTGTTCGGTACCTTCGTGCATTTAGGTCCGGGACCATATCTCCTGGTTCTTCAGTGGGGAGCAGATGTGAATCTGGGTTGTGTGACCCGTATTGACATAGCGCTGACTCAGCATTCAACTTGTTAAAAGCATGTACCAAACGTGGCTTGGCCTTTGAATGAGTCAAGTAGAAGGGACTTATCCTCTAAGTCTGCATGCATCCGCCCACCTAACCCTCCTGTCCTAGTAACTCCTACAGTGGGAATTGAATCTGCTTTGTTAGAAGATTAAAGCAACATATGTAGCACTCTTTTTCAAACACAGGTCATTGTTTTACAATCCAAAATTATGGGTTTGGGATTTAATATTAAGGTATACTTAAGTCAAGATAGAGGACATGTTTGGCTTAAGCTTTTCTTTTTTTGAGACAGTCTCGCTCTGTCACCCTGGGTGGAGTGTAGAGTGCAGTGGCTTCATCGTAGCTCCCTGAACCTCAGTCTCCTGGCCTGAAGTGATCCTCCACGTAGCTGGGACTATGGGTGTGTGCCACCACACCCAGATGATTTTTCTATGTTTGGTAGAGACAGAGTCTCACTCTTGCTCAGGCTGGTCTCGAACTCCTGAGCTCAAATAATCCTCCTGCCTCAGCCTCCCAGAATGCCAGGATTATAGGTGTGAGCCACCGTGCCCAGTCAAAGCTTTCCTTTTTGTGGAGAGTGGAGATTCTTACCTCCTGGTGCACAGAGTGAGCACTCAGGAGTTCTCTGACACACCTGGTCAATGGCATCCCCCTTCCCTGGCTTCTTACAAGCAGCTTCTGGCCTTGTGTGCCCCTGGGCACCTGTCCCTGGGCGGTTCCCATGAGCTACTATGCTCCTCTTGCCCAGGTCCCCTCCCAAATCACGCCCTGCCTCTGGGGACCAGCTTCCCCCGTTTCCAGAAGGGGTCTGGGCTGAAGGTGCAGACACAGAAGCAAACACAGCCGGAGTCTACGGCAAGGATGGACTCACTAGGGAGGGGTCAGGAAAGAGAAGCCACAGACAAGAACCATCAACCACATCTTGTAATCTGCTAAGTGCTTCATTTAATCCTTTTATCCTAGGGAATAGGACACAGTTTTATTTTCTTTTTAAAATGTGGAAACTGAGGCTTGGCGAGGTCCCATAGCTATCACATCATAGCAAAGCCACAAATATGGAAAATTGAGATGTTTCCAAAGCCCGTGCTCTTTCCATTACTCACCTTAGACAATTCATAGAGAGACCTGGTCCTCGCCCAGTGAAAACATCGTTATCCCTGTTTTGTGCAGCAGTTTCAGCTGTCACATAGTGAGGGGAGGAGGACAGTGTAAGTAAATGAGGACGCTTTAACTGCTCATTTTCCCTTTTGGCTTCACAGCCAACACGTGAGAAACCCGTGCAGCAGAACATTACTATGATTATAATCCACCATTCAGAGACAGAAAGGAGTCATGAGAATTCTGCAAAGTCTTAGAATCTAGAGCACTATTGAATTCTCGGGTCCTTGGCACATAAATCCCATTCTTAGAGCTTCTAAGCACTGAATGTTACAGACCAGATCCCATCGGAGTCGTCCCCAGCCATCTTTGCCCCTGTCCTCGTGCTGTAGGTTAGGGCGGTGCCCAGGCCAGAGTGAACATTCTCTGGACCTAACTCCGGACAGATCAGCAACTGCAGCATCTGCACCCACATTACAGGTCCAGGATATGAACTCCTGGGGAGCTGAGGGTACAAGGAGGTGGGGAAAGGCCTGGAGTCACAGAAGGTAGGCATCAGACACATCTAGCTCTGACATACAGAGGGAGTTATCGATCTCCTGGATTTCTCAAGAAGAATGCAGTGTAGAGAGAGGCCCCAGAGGAGAGCAAGGCACAGAGACCATCCAGTGTGGGCACCACCTTTTCATCACACTTCCAGTTTTCAACATTTATTGAGTACTTTCTGAGTGCCGGGCCCTGTGCTGAGTGCTAGGGGCAGCAGGACCAGAGAAAGCCAGGAGTTGGAGGGGTCTTGGGGTACATCATTCATTGGTGTTGAAGAGCAGAGATTCAAAGGAAAGCTGGGACTGGCTTCAAATTAGGCCTGAAGTTGGTGAATCCACCACATCCGCTTCTGACTCAGAAAGGTTGTCACCTGCAGCAGAGCAAACACAGTGGGGTCAGGACCCCCAGCTCAGTGTTGTAGCCTCATCCCTTTCCACCTGGTCTCTGATATTGTGTCCCTCACAGGCCCCTAGGGAGAAGGTGGTCTACCCCACAGGTGCTGCTGCCCCAGAAGATGATCAGTGAGAAGTCGAGGGGTACCCTAAGGAGACATCATTTTGCCCTCTCTCGCTCTACCCTTGTCCACATACTCTGAGCCTCAAGAAACAAGAGGCCAAGACACAAGATCGTGAGAGTTGAAGGAGGTAGGACTGGGGCACAAGGCAAGAAGCTGCTTTTTTCTTTCAAAAGAGATGAGGTCTCCCTCTGTTGCCCAGGCTGGAGGGCAGGGGCGCCATCATTGCTTACTGCAACCTCGGACTCCTGGGGTCAAGCGATCCTCCCACCTGAGCCTCCCAAAGCACTGGGATTACAGGTATGACCCTCCATGCCCAGCCTGAAGCTGTTCTTTAAAGGGTCTCCAATAACCATTTAATAACCAGGCCAGTGTATATTTAATTGACGCCATTTTAACATCCAACACTATTAACTATTTCTTCGTTCCTGAAATTTCTGCTCCCTTGGGTTATATAATGAAACATTCCCTGATTCTCCTGCCTCTCTGCTTTTTGAAGTCCCTTTGAGTACCTTCCCTTCTGTGCCTTTTCCATACTAAGAGTAGAATAGGCTGTGCTCAAGTATCAAATACCCTGACACCTAGTTGTTGCTTATGCTACATGTCCAAAGCAAGTTGCGGGGGAAGCTCTGCTCATCATGTTACTCAGGGAGCCAGG